CTCCTAAAACTTTGGCTTTTATAGAGGTAGTCACACTTGCTGATGATCAATTGATCAAGGGGATTAGATTAGCAGTACCTGGCTGCTACTTAGCCTCTTCATATCTATGGAAGTAGTAAGGGTGTACTTAGTTTTTCACACATGGCTTCTCCGTTTTGGCTTTCTTTTTGTAAAATAAATGACGACACGTGCGTGTGTGGGTATGTTTATGTGTATGTAGATATACAGTATAAACAAACATATACAATCGTGTGAAAAAGAAAGTACACCCTCTTTGAGTTCTATGGTTTTAATGTCGTCATTTATTTTACAAAAAGAAAGCCAAAACGGAGAAGCGGTGTAATATGTCATGTGTTGTTGTTCATCTGAGGTTGTATTTACCTACTTTTGAGAACTGCTAAGAACCAGATGATTTTTTATTAGGTCCTGATATGTAAAACCATAGAACTCAAAGAGGGTGTACTTTCTTTTTCACACGATTGTATATGTTTGTTTATACTGTATATCTACATACACATAAACATACCCACACACGCACGCCACAAACTACTAAGTTTCTTTTAAAGAGAAATTAATTGTAATGTTTTTGAAATGTAACAAAAAATAACCTAAAAAATAGCAGTTGTGTGAGTTACAGTAAAAATCTAAAATATAAAGGTTGCCAACTGGTTGGGATACATTTGGAGCATTTGCACAACACAGTTAATTAGGTCAAAGACCTACAGTATTGGTAGGACTTACACAATGTTTCTGAAAAAATACTGTTTAAATAATATTTATATCTTCTCCCTTATAGATCCAAACAGTGGCAAGTACCGTGGCTACACGAATCATGCTCAGAAATAGGCCCTAAGAAGCCCAGAGTTTAATTCAGCTTCCCCAAAGAAACAAATTGCTCTGAGCTAATTTTGCAAGCATACAATTCTTTCTGATCTCTCAGGAAAGGGAATGAAATGTGAGCCGCTCTTCCAGATATTTGTAAAACAAAACTCCTTCCCGTGATTGCGAGTTAAGCTTTCTTAATTTTGCCTAAGGAAAGGTGCACATTTGTTTCATTATACAGGTTGCAGAAATCAGCTTTTTAGAGGCATAGCAATGGATTCTTTTGCATTCTTAATGCACAGATTATAGATAAGTCTTGGGCATATCTGCATATCTACATAAATTTATATTAGAGGTCTGTGTTTTCTTTTAGTTTCTAGGTAGAAATGTTGAGGTAGATTTGTGGTAGGCTTTTGGATGGAATACAACCGCTTGACACTCACTCAGTGAAAGGGCCATAGGATAAATGCCGTTTGTCTCGATGTTCCTTCCAAAGGACCATGTCACTCCGTATGGGGTATTTTCCCTCCTGACGTAACAGCTCCTCTAAGATTTCAGGACTTCCAATATTAATATTAAGATAAGGACCACCAACGGACTTCCATATGGGGCCATACATTTTCTTGAACATGATCTAGAATAGAAAAAGTCATGATGATATTTGGAGATTCTCAAAAAAAGTGGCATGAGTATGCATAGACACAGGTCGTTCATTGCTCAGCAAAATAATTTGATTCAAGTGCTAATTAGGGGGTGCCATACTGTAGGCCCCATAGCCAGCGCATCACTTCATTCTCGGCACAAGCATTCTGCCATTCTGTAGCTTTTTTTGTAAGCGTTTTCAAGATGAAGGCATATCAATCCCTCAGTGGACTAAGACACAGCATACCCCTCGTACTAAAAATGCCTCTAGAAGTTTAGTTTCCACCTCCAGGTCTCAAATTTCTGAACTGGCTGAGGGTCTTTCCCTGCTTGCAACTGAATCATGGCACAGACCTGCCTCAGCAACTTTTGTCCTGCTGTGTCTCCATGTCTCATCTTGCCTTCATCTTGTCAGTGGCGCATGAGGAAGCCAGGCGCAAGTAGTTGTTAGCTGTTCCACAGTACTGTTACTGGTATTTAAGAGGTCAGCAAGCTGTAGCTTCTTTGCCATGGGGGCAGTCTGACCTGTTTCAGTGACCATTCAGTTGGTGTTGCAGTTCAGTCCAGCGGGCCCCTAGGGGATAGGTTCAGCTTGCCACTGGCTGATCTAAGCACCCCCTCCAGCCCCTAGGCACTGTCTTCCAGGGTCATTTTGCTTTGGGGAGCGGGAGTGTCCTGTTCTTTCAAACCAGACTCTCTCTCCCTGGGTCTTCCAGGTCTTTGAATTAATCTTGAATAGCAGCTGACCAGTGGTGGTGGTGGTGGTGGGGTGCACAGTGAAGCAGGAGAGAGCAAGCTGGCTCTCTGCCTCTTCACAGGGAACCACTCCCTCTCCTTAGCCTTTTACCTGTGGTTTGTATTGCTACAGAACATGGGTTTGATGTTATTGCAGAAGGGTGTTAAGTCTGTGTTTAAAAGCAGCCCAAACAATTGCTGAGAAGCATAAGGTGAAGGGGTTGCACTGGGCCTGGCTGATCCAGTTCTTCAAGCTGGAAATCAGTTTGGGGGCTTGGCAGGGAGACATTCTTTCCCTTCACCTGCTATCTCTCCCAGCCTGGAAGGAGTGGGCAGATAATGCTATTCGAACAGTCCGCCCCTGGCGACTGATGGACCCACAAGGGGTCCTCTGTTCTCAGTTGGAGGCCAAGCGTGAGGTGGGTCCAGTGGAATTGCCTGGGGAACACTCTTACCCAGTTATCTGGGAACGGTTTGATCCTGTTGCCCCTGAGGAAGTGGACAGGGTCGTCGTGGCTGTTAGTGCGGTTACCTGTATTTTAGATCCTTGTCCCTCCAGGTTGGTTAAAGCCACCAAGGAGATTACTTTAGGGTGGATACTGGCGGTGGTCAATTCATCTTGCAGGAGGCGGTGTTCCCAAAGCCTTTCAAGGCGGCTTTGGTCCGCCCCCTCCTCAAGAAACCATCGCTAGATCCCACCCTTCTGCACAATTTTTGTCCAGTCTCCCACCTTCCCTTTCTAGGAAAGGTGGTGGAAAAGATGGTTATGTGGCAGCTTCAGAGGATCCTGGAGGAAATGGATTATCTGGACCCTATTAGTCAGGTTTCAGGCCCGGTTATGGGACAGAAACAGCATTGGTTGCACTTTTGGATGATCTCTAGCGAGTGTGGGAAGGCGGTAGTGCATCCATCCTTGCTCTTCTTGACCTCTCAGCGGCTCTCGACACCATCGACCATGGTATCCTTTTGGGTCAGCTGCAGGAGTTGGGGCTGGGTGGCACAGTGCTGTGCTGGTTCAGCTCCTTTCTCCAAGGCCGAACCCAATCAGTGTTGACAGGGAGCAAGAGGTCCAACCCACGGCCCCTACTTTGTGGGGTGCCTCAGGATTCGGTGCTCTCACCACTCCTATTTAACATCTACATGAAACTGTTGGATGAGATCATCCAGCATCATGGGATGAGGTACCCAATTATACATCTCCATCCTGGGTGACTTAAGTGATGCTGTGGCTACCCTCTCACGGTGCCTGGAGGCTGTAGGGGCCTGGATGGGGGATGACAGGCTTCAGCTGAACCCTGGTAAGACAGAGTGGCTGTGGGTACAGGGAGCCTCAAGATCTAGGAGTTTATCATATTTAGTTCTTGACAGGGTCGCACTACCCCAGACAGACCCAGTGCGTAATCTGGGGGTCCTC